TACCTTGATGAATCCTCGTTAAAGCCTCGTTGTGTGTCCCTCATGATGGCTTGTTATCTTATTCTCAGCACGAAGCTTTGCTACATTACTCTGATGACTCTTTCGTTATCTTGTTCTTAACACGAGGATGTCGTTCTGCAAGGCTGGGGCACTGATTACCTTATCTTCTGCTGTCTTCGTGTATCAACTCTGTATTGGATTAATAAACCCACTGCTTGGCGAAACGTCGTCAAATAGATACCCATTGAAAACACACAAATGCAGTATAATGTAGTTTCGCCCACACAGTAGGCTTTATCAATACATATTTGTTTATTCAGTCATAGTGATTCTTCGTTTACTGTTTATCAAAACAACCTCGTCTGTGTGCATTATTGTGTTTATTGGTATGACTGTTGTGGATGGTTAAATTTGGTTAACTGGTGTTAACTTAACCAAAGCTCAACAACGTATATTTCGAGGAATCGGCTTAAGTTTATATATTACGATTGGTCGGTTGTGTAACGGGGGTTACAAGTCTGTCGACTTCATGAGAGCTATTAAGACTGCACTGTCATCTTTTCACCACCAGACAAGAATGCTTTATTCAATAAGGATTGAAGTAAACACTCAGCATATATACAAAGAGAGAACTACACTTCACGATGTATATAGCCTTCAAAATCAAAAAGTGAGTTAGGACAGGTCCCCTGTCCAGTGTTCAGGCCAGGCCATTGTTATATGGTATCAGAATAAATCCAGCTTTTAACACATCCGTCTCTCACATGCTTATAATAAAATTTGCTGCTTAAATTCATTATTTGTGTGTATTATAAATAAAACAAATGGATGTGCGCACTAAAATATAAATAAATGGGGGTACTAAAATGTAAATAAATGGGGTTCTAAAACATTATGGAAAATTGGACCCGATACAGCTGAAAGTTAAAAAATCATGACCAAACCTTGACAATAAAGACAATCACTTTTTATTTACAAGTGGGACAGATTTTAGGAATAATTCTTCCTTTTTCGGAATGTATAAGACGTGTAGAGAAGTAATATTGACAAGATAATGAGGAGGCAGGATAGACTAAGAGGGTTACAGATGAAGGAAGCTAGTAAACCAGAAAAACTGTGGTGATCAGGATATGTGAGTGAATGAATGACTGGGCAGGTGGGTCACGAAACATGACCCACATTACGTAATCCGTGCCCAAACACACTCACGGGTTTTGAAAGTGCACTTTTTAAGTGGGCTTCTTAAAGGTAAAAGTAAATTCAGGCAGTGAGGGGAAAAGTGACATATATACAAGGGCGTGGTTCTCATTACGTTCATTATCATTATGTTTTATGTCATTAGTGTTGTCATTATCAAAGCAATGTTCGCGTGACAAGAAAATGATTTGCAGAATCATTATATTTAATGGTGCATCTTGAGGGACCATTGAGTAAGAAGACTTTTGACCTCAGAAGCTTGCAGAATTGCATTATTATATTAAAAAATAGTGGAAAGTTGTAACTAATATATTGTCAGTAATTCTGACATTGACCCGCAGGAGGAACATAATTATGTAATGTAGACTTTATTTCTTCTTCTTCTTCTTCTTCTTCTTCTTCTTCTTCTTCTTCTTCTTCTTCTTCTTCTTCTTCTTCTTCTTCTTCTTCTTCTTCTTTTTCTTCTTCTTCTTCTTCTTCTTCTTCTTCTTCTTCTTCTTCTTCTTCTTCTTCTTCTTCTTCTTCTTCTTCTTCTTATTATTATTATTATTATTATTATTATTAACGTGGTTAATTAAAAGCTTATCGATTACACGAGGGTCATTAAGGTTGCTCGGAACCTTTTTAATCACCAGACAAGAATACTTTAATCCCTAAAATGGGGATTAAAGTAAACTTTGTTATATTAATTGAAAATCGCTAAATGCACAAGGGTCAAACAGCACTTTGGAAATGAGAGATAATCAGACTTCATTAAAAGTAAACTCACTGAAATGTGATTCTTCACCAGGATCAACTACCCCTCACCACCCTGGAAAGGATTATAAATGGTACTTATTTAATTATTACAATTATAACCAAGCGCTAAACCCATAACGGTCATGGAAGATCGACACCATGCCTAACCCTTCTAGGGTAGGGTAGGTGCCTGAGCCCGAGCCTTTAGCTCATAAGACTGTCATTCCCATTTGCTCCTTTGGGGCGGGGATGGCAGACCAGAGAGGCCTAGCTTGTGGCTAGGCCTGGGGACAGTTGGTCCCAAAGATGAGGAGGTACTTGTGCCTCCTCCCATGGGAGACTTAGGTCTCAGACACTCCCTAAAGAGGGAGCCAAGGCCGGGCCACCACTTGGAAAAGGCCCGGGCCGGGAGAATACCGGCTAATCTTGAATAATAATAATAAACATAAGGGTCATACCGGATAATTATTTGAATCTTTGTAGCGAGTCCCGTTTTCTTCATTACACATCTCTGCCTTTTTCTTATTGAAGCTCCACCAATTATCACTTGTTATCGCCAGTTCCTCAGTTTAAATCTAGATTAGGTGGCTTTAAAAATCGATTAGACAAATACATGAACGAGGAGGATTTGATTTGAATGAGACCTACATGGATTAATAGGGATTTTAAAGCTCAGACTTTGGGTGGCTTTGCTAATAGGTTGAATTAATGTTTGAGGGTGAAGAGTTGAACTTGAAAAGGACCTACCAAGTATGAGCCAGTAGGATCTGCTGAAATGTTCCAGCATTTTTATGTTCTCATTATCTGTCCGCTTAACTCTTTACTTTGTCTTATCTGGTGACATCGACCTCGTTGTCTCAGGGATGGTGTGGGTCAGTCTGTTAACTTTAGGGTCTGTTGTCTGAGGGAGGGTCGTTGAGGGATTGAGGCTACAGTCCACCTGTACACTAACATATGAATGATTTAATTTCTAAAATAAGGAATTGAAAGTAAACTTTCAGTGTACGTACAGTGAGAGATACATATCTCTCGGTGCTTACAGATACATACCTCGTTTTATTTTATTATTATTATTATTATTATTATTATTATTATTATAGTCGGTAATGGAAAAAATGAAATGTTTTGGGTTTTAATTATTCCTTAAATGTCTTTAATAAGCAAATAATGAACATAGAGATAAATGACTCACCAAATACAATGTCAAGGATGGGGGGAAGAAAGGAATGAAATGGGTGACGGAGAATGGGTTATCTCTTGTTAATAATACTGAAGGTCACAAATAATAATTAATAAAAAAATAATCAGTCAATAACGATCTGATAATAATGTTATAATTGTGGGAAATTTAAATCTACAAACACACTTTAATGTAATGCCAGTAGTTTACAGTTGACAGTGGTTGATAGGCGCACTAAGTTACTGCAAAAGCTATTCTACCCGTTATTTCCCCTACGTTGTTCTAAAATCCATATTCATAAATGTAATTACCTAAATATTAAAAATAATAAAACCCATTCAATTACATTTGTAATTTTTAACCATATTTACAATTCACTTACACAAGAATCGTAAGTTTATTCAGGTATACACAAATACAGTTACATAGATTATCATGGATAGCAGCATATGTGTAGAGAACCTGGGATAACCCAAAAAAGTCAGCCAAAGTGACTTATTTCCACTTGAGTCCTTTATCATCATAACGCCCTTGCCTTTCACTACAGTAATTATAACAACATACTTAATTCTTAGTCTTCAACCCCAAAGAGAAAGCCTCAGCTTGCTACCACCTGCAGCTTAAAGACTGCCATTCCCCACGAGCCCCTTTGGGGCGGGGCAGATGGCAGACCAGAGCCCTAGCTTCTCTCTACGAGCCCCGTGAGGGCGGGGACTGTGGCTAGGCCTGGGGACAGTTGGTCCCAAAGCTGAGGGGGTACTTGTACCTCCTCCCATGGGAGATTTTAGGTCTCGAGATACTCCCCAGATAGGGAGCCAAGACCGGGTCATCACTACTTGGAAAAGACCCGGGCCGGGAGAATACCGGAGAATAAAAAAAAAAAAATACAACCCCAACGTCTTTCCCAGTTGTTCACTGGACCTTTTCAATCCTCTAGGACTCAACCATGTCCTTACATCTCAATACCAGGCCGAGATAATGGTGCCGAACCAAAACGATGTACACTATATCTAGTTACACTGAAGCTAAACAATCGTATGTTACTCAAACCTTACCCCCACACATCCTAATCTACACAAAAAATAAAACAATAACACAAACACTAACTACTAGCTTCTTAACCATTGACAAGGCTATTTTTAGCACCTTAAATATATGCAAATTTATACCCAGCATTACAAAAATCCTAATTATATCACTAGCCCTACGTTATAACCATTTATATTTTATTCTAAACCATATTACGAGCATCAGAGAACCTCTGGTATATAATCACTTTTATAATATACACTTTCAAAAGTCAGTGAAAAAAAAAATTCCCCTGAAACAGGCAACACATCCCTCCTTAAAACCGACTAAATCTCATAAGTATATCACTACAATCACCAATAGACTCTTACAACTTTCTCTGATCTCCATAGTATAGCCTAGCCTAAAGTAATATAATATTACAAAATTTGCCAATGAAAATTCTAAATTTATAAAATGCAAACAAACGCTTGGGAAATAAAACTAGGCAGCCTATCTGCTAAAAGTTAATATAGCAGATCAGTAAACAAAAAACTAGGAGCCTAGCTCCTAAAAAAATATTCCAGATGCTATTAACAGATAAACTACTTAAACATTATATTTTAATATTAATATAATAAATCCAATACCCTTAGGCTGCATTACATAGCGCTAAACTCACATGGGTCACATAGTACCGTCTCTTGTGATGAGAGGCCGATGTTCAGATGTTAGAGTCGTGGGTTGGAATGTATTTGATCATCATATCTATATTGATTTTTGATGTTAAGTGTATTGGGCAGTGGGAGAGCAGTAGTGTATATTCATGGTAGCAATATAAAAAAAAATGTTTTGACTACCTTTTGTGTTGGCACAGGCACTCCACGGCTGACCGGCACTGGCACTATCTCTGTGCTGGTACAGGATGAGAATGATCACGCGCCGAGGTTCGATAAGGAAGAATATGAAGCCGCTGTTAGTGAAGCTGTGGCCGTGGACACTCAGGTCATTGTGGTCGCTGCTACTGATAGTGACTCCGGTGCCAACGCAAAGATCAGGTCAGTATTATTATTATTAGCAGTAGTAGTAGCATTAGTAGATTTTATTATAATTTCTTCTTCTTAAGGGAGGCACCAAACCCATTGGGTCATGCAGTGCATGGGAAATGGAAGGTAATAAAGCTTGATCCATGAAGGGGAGGGTAGCTCAAATTCACCAGATCAAGGGCCTTTCACTGGCATCAAGGCATCTCTTGAAGAGAGAGGTGGGTGAAGGACTCATTTTTGTTCATTTGCTATGCACGTGACCAGGTGACCCTTTACACATTCCAAGGAATAATTTTATTATATATATATATATATATATATATATATATATATATATATATATATATATATATATATATATATATATATATATTATATATATATATATAATCAGTTGAACAATGTACAGTTGTACACATTCCAAGATAATCATATATACATTATTAGGGAACTATGTACGCATTTCCTGATACTGGAGCATTCTTAGTGACTCATGTAAACACAACAGTAATTCCTGGTAATGCCCCAGTTGTGGCTCAATAATAGCTGAATGTGAGAAGTGGGTTATAGTCATGCAAATCAAGCCTTCATCCACAGGTATTCACTGGTGGAAGGTGCTGCTGGAGTGTTCATGGTGGAGGAGTGGACAGGAATCATCCGGACGGTGGCTAAACTCGATAGGGAGGCTGTAGCTCAGTATTCATTGGTCCTGGAGGCTCAAGATTCATCCCTAACCGAGCCTCGCTCGGCCACCACCCAAGTGAGTCTTCAAACAATTCGTAATTAAATTCCGTTTCCTGTGTGTGATATAGATTATATTCTGATTCCCAAGAAATTCAGGCTCTGCTGAAATAAAACCTTCGAAGCTGCTTTATCAACAGAGCACATAGTGGAATGCTTAATGATACCCTCGTCGCATTACTGAAGTCTTCCAGCTCAGTCTGACAATTTCATTATCTAATGCACAAAACCCCATCCAGTGTGAGTGGATATGACAGGGAAATTTAGCTAGTTTTTATTCCTACTATGTACTGTACTTTCATATATAGATTAGATTTAGCAGCAGTGTGATTGTTCCCACTATGACAGTATCATACAGGGTAGAGTGACAGCAATATTATTAGTGATCCCACTATGTAACTATCATATGAGCATGGGTTCTTAAACAGTGGTCCCAGGACCCTTGGAAGGAGTTCAGGTGGTCTGTAAATTAGGGTGAAAAAAAAAATATTCTTGTAGTTCCAGTTAGTTTAAAAACTGTCTTTGCAAAATAATTCAGTTTTATGGCAAATTATATTCAGGTATTGCCTCATTCGAAATTAGTGTAGTGGTATGTGCTGCTACAAGGTCAAGTAACATGCAATCTCTATCACTGCCGTGACATGAGTTCCAGTCTAGTTTCTCGTTGATATGAATTAAAGAAAACATACCCTGCCAGTATTGACATCTTAGCTTATTTACATTGTCAGTGTCAGCTTAATAAGTTTGCTGAAAGAAAACCATTCAAATATGCTTTAAAACTGTTGTCTTTTTTTTTTTTTTTTTTTCATTTTCACTTTTCTAGTGAAACAATGTGCAAAATAATGCCTTGCGGGGACTATTGTCTGTGTGTGCGCATGTGTGTGAGTGTTGTATTATATTATATGTATTATATTGCTTAAGGATGGACTGTATAATTGAACATCATTAATGATTTGTTACTATTCAGGTGACAGTGACGGTGACTGATGAGAATGACAATGCCCCAACCTTCTCCCAAGAGCAATACCTCATCCATGTACCTGACCCTATGGTGTCAGGTGAGTACTTTACATGCACCATAACAACACATAATGTACTCATCAGAAACAAGTGAAAAAATACACAAACAAATATCTAATGTAACTGGATTTGAACCCAGGCCACCAGTTCTCCATGAGCTGAGAAACTAACAGTTTAAACATTGAATGAAGTGGCTGAGAATCATGCTTGAGGTTCACTGGTGTGCCCAGCTATGGAAGAAACATGGTTAGTGTTCTGGCTGGCCACCCAAAGTTATGAGTCATTTGTGGCTGAATGGTTTAGGGTATCAGTTTGTCAGCTATCTACACTTGAGAGCTGGTGGCTTGGGTTCAAATCTTGCTGGCTGTGATATTTAAAATCTTTCACTTTAGGACGAGTGGAAAAACGAGGAAGTGTGTGTTATGAGGGTCAGTGCCATCTTGGCCCAGTCCCAGTCCAGGTCTCCTGGCAAATGCCCTGGTCAACCAGGCTGTTGGTGCTATCCACACAGTCCAATATAAGTGCCACAGGCTGGCTGATGAGGCACTGACTTTAGAAACTCCTCCAGTTCTTTCTTTAAGGCAACTCAAGTCTATTACCTGTATGTAAGAAGGGAAGAGTCTTAGTCCCTTCACACTTTTTTTTCTTAGTGTAATCACTGCACCCCTGCTGTTCATTGGGGTATTTTGCACCATCTTCCAAGTCTCTTACATTCATGGGGAATGATTTGTGTGTGCAGGTTTGGGACTAATCTTTCTGTTGTAAAGTAATGACCTAAATATATATGTTTTAATATTTTTATTATGTTGGTAGACAGCAACCACCCAGGGAGGTACTAACGTCGTGCCAAGTGAGTGTAAAATGAAAGCCTGTAATTGTTTTACATGCTGGTGTCTTTTTTCTGTCTCATAAACATGCAAGACTTCAGGTCCATCTTTCTACTTCTACTTACACTTAGGTCACGCTACACATACATGTACAAGCATATATATACATACCCCTCTGGGTTTACTTCTATTTTCTTTCTAGTTCTTGTTCTTGTTTATTTCCTCTTATCTCCATGGGGAAGTGGAACGGAATTCTTCCTCTGTAAGCCATGCGTGTGTAAGAGGCGACTAAAATGACGGGAGCAAGGGGCTAGTAACCCCCTTCTCCTATATATACTACTAAATTTAAAAGGAGAAACTTTCGTTTTTCCTTTTGGGCCACCCCACCTCAGTGGAATACGGCTGGTACGTTGAACAAAAGATTTTTATTATATTCAGAGGGAAGCACTAAGATTACAGGAGCCATAAATCACTTGGGGAAGGGGAGTTAATCAGGTTTGATCCAAGGAAGGGGAGGGTTGCTTTGATTTCTTAAATCGGGAGCCCTTCATGAACATTATGGTCCCCTCCCCCTTTCTTGTGATGGCTGAAATGTGTTTTTTTATATTTTGTTATGGCCAATTATTTGAGTGACATTGTTTATTGATGTTTCAGGAAACTTCGTGTTTGGTGGTGAGGCTCGGGACCCGGACGAGGGCGTCAATGGCCGTGTGACCTACTACCTTTCTGGTAATGATGCAGACAAATTCTACATGAATCAGGAAACAGGTGTGATCAAGGCATCAACACCTCTGGCTGGGGAAGGCGAGTATCACCTGGAAGTCCTGGCAACAGACTCTGGAGAGACCCCACTATCAACCACAGCTAAACTCCAGGTCTTCCTCCGACCAAATAATCTTTTCCCTGTCTTTGAGCCACTTGAAAAGACCTTTAGCTTCAGTGAGGCAGCAAGGGGGGATCTAGTCACCAGCCTCACAGCCACCTCTCCTAAAGCAGGACCCACAGGCAATGTGCACTTCAGTATTGCAGGTGGCAATGTGGGCCAGGCTTTTGTAGTGGATAAGAAGACAGGGGAGTTGAGGATCTCTCAGCATGGGCTTGACTATGAGACTGCACCTCGTTATGAGGTGTGGGTTGCCGCAGAGGACTCTGATGATCCACCACTAACCTCTGTCACTCAGATTGTAGTTAATGTCACAGACTTCAATGATAATGCTCCTGTGTTCTCTCAGGCTATATACAATGCTAGCATCCTAGAGGCTCAGAACCCACCTCAGCTAGTTGCTACTGTAAGCGCCACTGACCGCGACTCTGGAACTAATGCTCAAGTTATTTATCAGCTCAGGCGCGACTCACCAGCTGCAGAAGCATTTACTCTGGATGCTGAGACCGGTCAGATCTATACGAAAATCCAGCTGGATCGTGAGGAGGTAGAAGTATACACATTAATGGTAGAGGCAGTGGACAAGGGAATACCAGCACAGACTGGAACAGCTATGGTTGTTGTCACAGTCCAGGATAAAAATGACAATCCACCACGCTTCACTCGCTTGTTTAGTGTTAATGTTACAGAGAACGCTGAAGTGGGAACATTTGTTATTCAGGTAACATCTAGTGATCGAGATATCGGTGAAAATGCAAATGCTACTTACAGTTTTACTGAAAATCCTGGTGGCAAATTCTATATTGATTCTTTGAGTGGTAATGTGACCGTGGCACGAGCCATTGATCGGGAGTTAAATGATGAGTACCTTCTGAAGGTGTCTGCTGTCGATGGGTCATGGCGGGCTGAGACTCCTCTCACCATTACTGTACAGGATGAAAATGACAATGCTCCAGAGTTTGAACAGAGCTACTACGTTTTCAATTTCCCGGAGCTACAGCGCAGCGTTGCCTTTGTTGGTCAGGTTACAGCCACAGACAGAGACAAGCAGGGTCCTAACAGTGTTATATCATATTCTCTCAAGTTCCCTTCAGATTTCTTTAGTGTTGACCCAGCAAGTGGGGAGATCTTATCCAAGCAGGCCCTTCAGTACAAGCACACACTCAAGGGCCCTTCTCCTGAAAACCAGTACAATCTTGCAGTGGTAGCTACTGATAATGGGAAGCCTCCCATGTCTTCTGAAAGCTCAGTGGTGATCAATGTTGTGGATGCAAATAACAATCCACCTAGATTTTCTCAAGACCGCTACTTCACGCCTGTCCCAGAAAGTTCTTCTATTGGCCAATCTATCATTCAGTTAAAAGCAATTGATGATCGAGATTTTGGCATTAATGCTGAGATAGAGTATCAAAAGGTGGGAGGCAATGGAACAGACTTCTTTGCCCTGGAGCAAAAGACTGGTTGGATCACAGTGACACGACAGTTGACGGGACGTATAGATACACAGTTTGTATTACTAGTCAGAGCCCTTGATCGTGGTGTTCCGCCACTACAGGATGAAGTACTTGTAACGCTAGTGGTCACCGGTGAAAACAAACATGCCCCTGAGTTCACGGCTCTCAGCTACCAGGTCATCGTACCTGAGAATGAACCTTTAGGATCTGATATTGGAACCCTCATCGCTAAGGATAGTGATAAAGGCCCCAATGGACTTGTCCGATATTCAATTACAAGCGGTAATGAAGCTGGTAAATTTGCCATCAATGAGAAAACGGGAGATGTAACCATAATGCATCCCTTAGATTATGATGCTGTACAAGAGTATAGACTCAACATCACTGCCCATGACTTGGCATTTGTACCTCTACAGTCCACAGCCATACTCACTGTCATCCTTATTGACATTAATGACAATCCCCCCAGATTTAGCCAACAGCAATATGATGCTTATATTGCAGAAAATGCCAATGCTGGGACAACAGTGTTCAAATTAAATGCCACAGATATAGATTCAGCACGAAATGCAGTCATTCAGTACACACTAGTTGGTGGTGATGGCAAAGAGTTCTTCTCAATTGACCCAGATACTGGTGTAGTGACCTCTAAGAGAGTCTTCGACTATGAAGAGAAAAGTCGTTATGTTTTAAACATAAGAGCTGCCAATAATCCTGACTCATCACAGTGGGGCTCGACAGCAGTAATAGTGCATGTAACAGGTCGCAATGAGTTCTTTCCACGCTTCATCCAGTCAGTCTTTCAATTCACTGTGTCAGAATCTGCACAGATTGGCACATCCGTGGGTGCCATCCAAGCCACAGATGAGGACAAGGGTGAAGATGGTATGGTGTACTATCTCTTGGTTGGTGCTAGTAATGATCGAGGGTTCTTGATCCAGCCCACGACTGGTGTTATAACAGTGGCCCGCAGCCTTGATCGAGAAAGTCAGAACAGAGTCGTTCTTACAGTCATGGCCAAGAACGCAGGCAGCATTCGTGGTAATGACACTGATGAAGCCCAGATAACCATTTCCATACAAGATGGTAATGATCCTCCAGTGTTCTCTCAACCATTATATGAGACACGACTCTCTGAAGGTGCTCTCATGGGTACCCTGGTGCTGACTGTGGCAGCTGTGGATTCTGATGTTCAGCCACAGAATAATCAGTTCATCTACTCCATCACTGGAGGTAACTTGGGGCAAGTGTTTAAGGTAGATCCACAAAGTGGCGTCATAGAGACAACAGCTCAGTTAGACCGTGAAACTATTCAGGTTTATAACCTGACAGTAGGTGCCATTGATAATGGGACTCCACCACAAACTGGGACTACCCTTGTCCGGGTTATACTGGATGACGTTAATGACAATGGTCCACAGTTTGATCCACCTGACATAGTGGGTTATGTGGCCGAAAATGAGCCAGCAATGACTTCTGTGATGACTCTAAGCGCCACTGATCCAGATCTAGCACCCAACACACAGCCTTTCATCTACTATATTGTTGGAGGTGAGCATCGAGAGTTCTTCACAGTTGACCAGGCAACAGGAGAGGTCAAGACAACTCGTAGTATTGATCGTGAGACCACACCTGAGTTGACCTTCCGTATTGAGGTTGAAGATAGTGGTAAACCAAAGATGAAGTCTGAGTATCCTGTGTCAATCATTGTCCTGGATAAGAATGACTCGCCTTCAACACCTAGGACAGTCACAGTGAAGGTACAGACATTCCAGGGAGTGTTCCCTGGTGGAAAGGTTGCTGATGTACACCCCAATGATGCAGACACAGCTGGCCAGTACTCTTGCCAGATCCTCACCCAAGATGCTGCAATCTTTAACATCCCTAATGCCTGCAATCTACATGCTGCCAGAGTGCCACGTGACCGTACCTATACTCTCAGTGTATCTGGAAATGATGGTAAACATCCTGATGTCACTTCAAAAGTCACACTTGAGTTTGAATCTTTTGATAATGCTACCTTGGACAACAGCCTCACTCTGCGGCTGCTCAATGTAACAGCAGAACGGTTCCTTCGCTTGTATTACAAGCCTTTTATAGATACTCTGTTGCCTATTTTTGCAGGAGGTCAAGTGCGCATTTATTCTATGCTTGATGTTGACTCGCACACAGACTTAACACTAACGGTGGCCGGATCGGGCACAAATTCTTTCTTGCGCCCAGCAGAGGTAACACGTAAGCTGGCAGCTGAGGAACCAACACTCACTCAGTCTCTTCAGGGACTACAACTCATTGTAGATTACAATCCTTGCAGTGATATGCCATGTAAGAATGGTGGAGAATGTTCTCATGGCATTCATGCTTATGCTGACACTGAAATTACTGACTCTCCCAGCTTTATTTTTACCTCACCTCTCATCCGCCATGATGTGTCATGTAGATGCCGTCAGGGCTTCACTGGGCCAAAGTGTGAGCTGCGCCAAGATCCCTGTTCACCCAACCCATGCCAATTTGGTGGCACTTGTGCAAGGAAGGGTTTCCATTTCATGTGCACTTGCCCTCCCACCCGACAAGGGCCACAATGTGAGTTTGACAAAACTAATGCATGTGATGATAACCCATGCCGCAATGGTGGGTCCTGTCAGACAACACTTGAAGGTGGATTCTTCTGCCTGTGCCGCCCTGGCTACCGTGGTAACCAGTGTGAACTAGCCAGTGAGTCTTGCCGCCCCAGCCCTTGCCTCAATGGTGGCACCTGTGTATCGCTAAAGCCTGGCTATCGCTGCTCATGTAAAACAAACTTCTATGGCACTCACTGTGAGAAATCCACGTTTAGCTTCAGTGAGTTGTCATACATGACGTTCCCTACGCTAGATTCTACCACCAATGACATTTCTATTATCTTCTCCACTAACAAGCCAGATGCTCTTCTCGTTTACAACTATGGCTTGCAGACAGGCGGACGATCAGACTTTGTGGCCATAGAACTGAAGGGTGGACAGCCTCGCTTCAGCTTTGGTGGTGCACGGACAGCTATCTCAAGGATCCAGGTGGGGCACGACGTCGCTGATGGCAAATGGTACAAGTTGACAGCAACCCGCAATGGACGCGTTATCTCCCTTAGTGTGGCTACTTGTACCCACAATGGTGAGACGTGTGGAGAGTGTCGGCCAGGAGACACTTCATGTTATAACGACGACACTGGCCCCACAGGGTGAGTGTACCCCTCTTATGTCTTTACCAAACTAACCAGCATATAACTTGCAATTGTAAAAAAATTAATTTCATATTAAGTTGCTTGATTACAGTATATGGAAAGCATATTACAGTATTTACAAGTACTACTGTGTTATAATTATTAATATAATTACTGTGTTGTTATTATTATTCACAAAAAAGTATTAACTCCATGGACATTAATCCATGGGATTAATGAGTATAAGCACAGCCACTGTTAGTGAATTTTCTCAAAATGTTATCTCAAACAATAACTCTTTTATACTTTCAACGAGTCTGCTTTCCACGTTAAATCTTAATTTCATGATATAATTGGTATTGTAGAAGTTATTTTTATTATTTAGCTGTATGTTTACACTTTATTCTTGTGTTGTGCCCAAAACAGGACACTGAATTTCAACAATGAGCCGTTGTACTTGGGTGGTGTGATGACGGTGGACCCACTGCAGGAGCGACCGGGGCAGGTGCTGGCTGATGACTTCATTGGTTGTATCCAGACAGTCTCCATCAATGGCAGACCCCTTAACCTCTCTGGACCCATCCAGGTTAGACCAGTGGCTCTGCTTCTTGCAGAATGTTCTTAATACTAAGTTTTAGTTCAATAGACTTTGTTATGTAAACCAGTCTCATCCTGTGAGGTTTTTACTTTATTTCAAGTTTGTAGTAAATTCTGCATGTGTGTAAGTGTGGAATGTTTTATTTCAGAGCACTAGATGACCTTTAGTCCACTGCTCTATAAAGTAAAAACAAATCTTTCTTCCATATTTCATGAGCAGCAGTTCCTCAAGGGAGGTTCCTTGATGCTGGCAAGGGGCTCTTGATTCAAGTAATTGGACCTGACTTCCTTTTCTTTGGATCAAACCTGATCATCTGCCTTTCTCCCAGGCATTGTATGACCCTTATGGCTTTACTGCCCCCATGAATGTAATAATAATACGAGCAGTAGTACATTATTAGAGTATTGCATACTGTACTTAGAGGTTATCACTCAATGCATAACAGCCATACAGTGCCTGGGAAATGGGGGATAATTAGGTGTGATTCATGGAACAGGAGGTTGGTTTCAACATCTTGGATTAAAAGACCTTCACCAACGTCAAGGCAAATTCCTTTGAAAGAAGCAGTAGCTAAAAAGAGAAGATTCAGTCACAGAAGTACCAAACCTTTGGCAAAGATTCCTAAGCAGCATTGGTGATGATTTCAGTAACAAATAACAGGTCAGCTATGCCACCTCAGAATCTTGGGATACCCCACCTACTAAGTGTGGTACAACATCTTGACTCTATTGATGGAAAGAAAGGCCTAGTGTCAGTAGATAAAATAGCACAGCCACTCTTGACTGACACACCTGTCTACCTGGTATTCTGAAATTGTGTACATAAAGAATATATCTTACTGCCATGAATGGAACAATTAACAGCTAACACACAAGAAAGAAAATGGAGGAAAGAAAGAAGTTAGGTCAGGTTTATGTGACTTGATAATGGTCCAGGAGAGCCTAAATATTATGTAGTATGGCACAGTTAACATATACAGTAAAAAGAGACCTTTACTAGTATGACTTTTTACCTACATGAGGCTTTATCAGGTATGATAAAGCTTCATGTACATGGCAAATAAAGTCTAGTGTAGGTGAAATGTTGTACTAATACAGTTCTCGTTTTGCCGTGTCTTTTTTACTATCATCTAGTTTTATTTCTAAGTTAAGAGCTCTGCTGTCACTAATGATGCTTTACTGTAGGGATCAATTAATGTTAAAAGACTTAGGGTAGCATGTTTAAACAGTTAGTACTCAAGCAAACCAGTGTTTTATTAATCACAATTTACAACTAGAACTGGGGGTGAATGGCACTTAGGTGAACTGAATACCTCTACAGAGGAACAGTGTTTCACTCATGCAAGGGCTGTGTAAGTAACTGATGTTTGACCCATGCAGTGGTTTCCTTGATGAAGCCCTTGTGTGGGGCAAAACAATGTCATTAATACAGGTATCCACTGCATGTGTTATTTACTCTAGAAGTAGTAACTGAAGCAACACGAATGCACCGTGCAAGCGTATGTAGTAGCTGTTACTATCCAGTGTTGGCACACCAGGCAGGCACAGATGCTAGATGTTATTATCCAGTCAGCATACCAGGCAAGCAGTGGTTGTAGATGCTACCAGCCAACATCAGCATACTGAGCTGAGGTGGTATTAGACATTATTAGCCAGCACTTGGAAAGAGTAGGATTATTATAATTATAATAATAGTTGTATTAATGTTGGTAGAATTACCGACAATATGTTAGGTAAAAGGACACAAGTGCAACTAATATGAAATTTTATTGTGGCAACATTTCACTCTCCAGGAGCTTCATCAAGCCATTACAAACAATACATGGACACACACGGTATAGTATAATTAAGTGCCAAACCCATGAGAGCCATACAGTACCATGGGAGTGTAAGGTAATCAGGCTTGATCCAAAAGTAGGGGTACTCTAACTCCTTAAGTCACGACCCATTCACTAGCATTCAGGCAGGTCAATTGAGGGAAAGAAAGGGAGACTTGTACCTTTGCTGAGTTACTAAGAGTATGACTTCCTGAATTTTTCTTCTTTGTTTTAGGCACGAGGCATATCAGACACCTGCGAGCGTGTGGCTGATGTGTGCATGGGCAGCCCATGTGGTGAGGGTGCCACCTGCCTGGATCGCTGGTCTACCCATATGTGCCGCTGTGCCAATGGTCTGGTGGCTCCAGATTGTGAAGCTTCTCTTCGCCCTGCAGCCTTCACCCGTGGTGCTTATGTCGAGTTCCTCATCACAGAGCAGCACCGACGACGCCAGCTGCTACCACGCCTCTACCAGCAGCACTCCAGGTGGTCACGAGAAGCACATGCCTACCACACCCGCACCCATCACATCCGTGCCCACAAAACCCGTCCCAGACCCACACGTCAAGTCCCACCACCTCCACCAAAGAGCCTCTCCTTCAGTTTCCGAACACGAATGGACAGTGGCCTCCTACTGCACTCTGCCACCAATAATGATTACACACTCGTTGAGATCCGAGGTGGCTTCCTGCAGTACACTTCCAAACTGGGTGCCAATCAACCCATCAACATGACTATTCTTGATGTGGCTGTAAATGACGGAGACTGGCATAACCTGACACTGCTGGCAGCACAGTCAGCTCTTAGACTTATGCTTGATGGTAACATTGTTGGTGATGAGCTGGACTTGCCCTTCATCCATGACTTCCTTGATGCCTACCTCACCTCCCTCACATTGGGTGCTGCACCCCGCTTCACTGGCCACCTGCCTTACACACTCACTGGTGAGTATTCTTTATTTTCACTATTTGCTTACTTTCTCAGGTATTCCTTTTGCCCACATACATGTGCTATTACACCATGAACTCATTTGCCAAAGGCTTTTGCAAAGTCTGTGTACACTACACCTGCATTTTACTTGTCTTTCAGTGCATCGAAAACCATGTTGTGATGGTCTAGCGTGGGCTTAAACCAGGAGTGACTTGCTTTAAACCCATGCTACCTTGGGTCGTGGAACTGTGATTCCATGTGATTATCAATCTTGTTTCTTAAAATTCTGCCCAAGATTTTGATAATGTGGGATATCAGTACTATTGGTTTATTGTTTTTTACAATTTTACTGCCACCTTTGCAGAGTCGACCTTTATCCATGGTTATTAATGGCTGGGATGACTCCTGTTTCCAGGCTCCATTTCCACAGAATTTTTATGGCAACTGATAATGGTTTCTTGCAATTCTTGATTAATATGTGTTCCACAAGTCTGGGCTTGGGGCAGAGTGCATGGGTATGCCATTAATAACTTCTTTGAAGTCAAGTGATGCAAGATGTTGGGAGTAGCGAGAGAATTAAATCCTATGTTATTTTGTTTATACGTGATTGTCTTTTGTTTTTGTGATCGGAGGCTTCAGAGAAGTACAGTTTTACCCCTACAACCATAACAAGTGGGTTAGGGTTATATCAGAAATTGTGCAGATGTCAGCAGTTTTGAGGCTCTTAAAAAAAATAATTTTCATTGTCTGTCTGTCTTTAGTCTGATTAATGACTCATTTAACGCAGAGTTATAGTGTAATTTCAGTATTTTACTTATTTCTTTTTTACCATCAGTGCAAGTCTACTTTTATCTAAATTACTGAATGTGCAATTTATTTGTATACTGGTTGATTAGGCATGCACCAAACAAGCCTGGCCATGGGCTGAGCTGTGGGAGTTGGAAAACTCTTAAAACCTATCAAAGATATGTATCCAAGGTTTATCAAAGGTGTTTGTGTCATTTTGTAGGATGGTCATTGTCTCTTGTAACTGGTCAGTGTATTGTGTGTGCATGTGTAACCTCTTCTGACATTGTTTTGTATCTGATTAGTGCACTGTGTCTTTAATCTCTTTCCAATATGTATACAGTGGCTATATTCCAACATGTTGTTAATAGCCTGACTGTTTGGAGATTAGGCTGTGATTAGCAGGCAGAAGATCAAGCCTCCACCATTACTTGCACTGAATAGCTGGCATGGTTGTAGCAATTTATATTAATAACAAAAATAATCTGAAAAGAAAGGGCCTGTCATAGACATCAGGTGTAAAACATGCTTCATTTACTACATAACTAAACATATTCCTTATGTTTGGCTCTACTACTGAGTTGGGCATAATTGAACTTCATAAATACACGCAGCTTTTAGCAAAGCTGATTGTGTTTCTACTGTGGTATGATTTTGAATGACATTACTAGATTAATAGCCTTTTTAAGTAGCATGCCTAAACATTAAGACTTTGAAAAAACTAGTTTCATACTTAGATGGATAGTAATAATTCACCCGCAGTCATTACTTTATGATCTCTCTTCTTCTTACCTGAACTGAATGACTGCAGTTATTCAGACTGAACTTCAATGGCCATCACTTCTTTGATTAATTTTCCCTGCAATGCAAGTCTTCCTGAAGGCAGTCTCTTACTTTCCTGTTTATAGTCCATGTAATTTCACATCTGCAAATACTCACACACTATATTTGATACCTTCTGGTGGGTAATTTACACTCATCAGGAACCAGAATGACATAGTACTGATCCTTGGGGAACCCCACTTGTTACCCTCATCTATCCTAACCCATCCTCCCATACCGTCACTCGTTATCTTTCAGGTACGTATTGTATTTACTGATCCGTTGTAGGACTTTCCTTAACCCCGTAGCCCGGTCTGAGACCAGGCCGTGGGGGTGTTGACCCCCAAAACCCTCTCCAAGTATCTCCAGGTATACTCTCCTAGCTTTTAGACCTATCTAGACCCTGCTTCCCCTCAGGGAAGGTTCCTTGATGTTGGTGAGGGGCTCTTGATGTAGGGAATTGGATCTGTGCTCCAGTTCCCCGAATTAAGCCTGACTGCCTTCCACATTCCCCCCCAGGCACTGTATAATCCTACGGGTTTAGCGCTTCCCCTTGATTATAATAATAATAGGCCCTGCTTGCATTTCTAGACCTGTTTCTGGTGAGGCTACATTGTCAAATATTTCCACAGAGGTCTAAAACATTCAGCTTATCCCTGTCTCAGTTGTATATTTTTGGTAATTCTTATTATAGAGCTCCCAGAAGTCTAGTGTTTAAATGTTCGCTTAACTCTGTGATGCTGCCCAGGCTTCCAGTGGTGTGAAAAAGGAATATGTAGCACAAAGAATAAGGACATGAATGTCTGGGTCAAAACTGGAGCTGTAGCATGTCAAATCCCTTTTTGTGTTCAATCATAGTTGTGTCTGATATGGGAAGGGTAAAACATTTGAAGTCCTTAACTGTATCATCATGAGAAGGGCACTGAGGTTGGCTCGGGCTGTCCACCAAGTGTAACTGGAAGAGATGTGCTGCCAGTTCATTTGCTCTTTGACTACACTCAAAAAAATCTTGTTGGCTAGATTATTTTTTTCTTTTGTGTTCACATACACAAACTATATTATATTTTTCAACATACCAGCCATCTCCCACTGAGGGAGGGGGATGCGTATGTGTGTGTACATTATGAGGAGGCACTATAAATATAATAATAATAATTTATATTCTCTACAGGCTTTGTGGGTTGCATGTCAACATTCAGTGTGGATGGGGAAGTGCAGCCACTCAACTCAACAGGGTCATTACTGGATGCTGTGGCTCGAGGAGTGGCATTGGTCACAGACTGCACAGCGGCAGACCTGGGCACAGCCACCTCCACAGACCCTCTTTCCATCGGCATCACACTCGTTATTGTTTTTTTTGTGCTCCTCCTAGTTGCTATTCTAGTTTCCTTCATTGTGTACCGTGTGAGACGCCAGAGACGCGAGAAAGGGGGTGTGCACGTCAAGCAAAATGGATCGGCTCTCCTTGCCAATACCTCCTCAGACTCTGGGAGATCTCCCCAGGATTCTGGTTATGTGGAAAATGCAGAGATGACAGATGATGTGCTTCGCTCGCATCTCTCCCAGGAGTTGGCAACGAAGAAATACAAGGAGCGTGATCACGAGCGGCCACAGCGACCAGATATAATTGAGCGAGAAGTGATGAATAAGTCACCTGGTGTTCCACTACGTGTGGATGAATCGCAACTACAGGAGAGGGACACCATGGCTGGTTTAGGTCACATACCAGACTCGGAGGCTCCAGAACATTACGACCTAGAAAATGCTTCATCCATTGCACCTTCTGACATAGACATTGTGTACCATTATAAAGGATATAGGGATGGCAACGTTCGCAAGTACAAGACCAATCCTCATGTGCCTGGGTATCATAAACACAATCATCGCCATTCACCTCACAATTTCCCCAACACACCACACCGTGAGAGCCCTCGTAACTTGATGAGACAGAGTCCAAATCCTGTGGCACCACGGGAATCTCCATCAGTGTTGAAAATGCAGTCTACGCCTCTTGCCCGCCTCTCACCCTCATCAGAGCTGTCTCAGCAAACACCGCGTATCCTCACATTGCAGGACATTAGCGGTAAACCTCTGCAGACAGCTCTTCTTGCAACCTCACAAGGACCAGGTGTGAAGGATGTCATGTCCACAAGTGAACGATCCCTAAATTCACCTGTTTCACACCTTTCCCAGTCATCTGGTTCAATGCATGCATCATCACAATCAACAAAGAAGAAGAAACATGACAGCAGTGTGAGTCTGGGCCTGACTCCTGAGGAGATAGAACGACTAAACACCAGGCCTCGCAACTCTTCCCTGGTGTCAACACTGGATGCTGTTTCTTCTTCCAGTGAAGACAACCAGCGTAAAGACAAACTTGCAGAGCTCATTGAGACCAACACAGAGCTTTTGGAGCCACCAGACTCTTCTACTGATGAGTCTGGCAATGACTCCTTCACTTGCTCAGAGTTTGAATATGAAAACAACTATGAGAAAGTGACTCGTGATTTTGGTCCGGGTAACATGATCTTCAGCAAACTAGCAGAGGTAGACAATGAGAATGAACATGACAATGAGTCGGCAAAAAACTATGATGGCTTTGATTCTTTTCGAGGCTCGCTCAGCACACTGGTGGCATCAGACGACGACTTGAGCAACATGAGCTCCTACAAGCCACCCAACGGCTCCACGTTCGGCTGGGACTACCTGCTCAACTGGGGCCCCAACTTCGAGAGCCTAGTTGGCGTGTTCAAGGACATCGCCGAACTACCGGACAATACTACCAACGGCCGAGTGAGTGCTCGGGGCACACCCAAACCCAGCGAGGAGTACGTGTAGCGGCAGCTAGAGCTGAGCGAGGACATTATGTAGCAGCCGCCAAAGCCTATAATTTATAAGGAGAGAAAACAGCCTGACACCCTCATGAGTCTAGTGTATCCTGGCGCAGTTTTTGTGTACAGATGACACCCTTGGAGAGACTTGTGTGGAAAGGTGTATAGGGCTGTTAAGGTTCAAGTAGACACAACACTGAACACTAAAAACTCCTGCCGAAGGAGCATTTTGTCACATGACTTTTGCCCATGTGATTGGCATTATATTTCGTGAAGGTGTACACAAACTACGCTTCTAGTTCTATACAAGTGTGGCTCGACTGCTGTCTAGACAGTCTTGCCAAGGACTCCATATTTTTACGAATTTGTTTTCTGCCTTGGCCATTTATGAGAAACACTGATGGCAGCTGGCATGTCCGATGGTCATGTGACAGCACCTCTGTCACAAAGCCAATATTGCAGCTTGGAAACAATTTGTGGAGGTAAAATGGCCAATGGTAGCATCATAACACATCATTTTCATCTCTTAATAAGCATCATGTCTCAGTGGCCAAATGTTTAATTAAGTGCCGAGTTCAAGTTGCCAAAACTAAAGATGTTTGCATAATATAGATGAGTTTCTGGTTCCGAGTTGCCAAACGTTGAAGTGCCTTGTGCTCTTTGATTCATGGAAAATATTGTGAATTCTCAGATGCCAAACTAATGTATGTAAATGTTCTTGTTTAAGATTGTCTCTATATTATTGCTATACATTTAAATGTTTTCGTACGTGTCTGCAGTTGTCATGTAAACCTCAAAATGGCCAAATCTTCATCCCTCGACGAAGCTGAACCAAGGTGCATTTTAATTACTATAATCAAAGAATGGGTTCTGGGGGAGAGACCAGCAGAGTTTGAGTAAAGAGGCCACGAACGACCTTGAGTTAGAAGTTACTGTCTTGTCCTAGATTCTCCTCATACTCGTATAGCTATTTATAAAACCTAGTGTGTAAGTCTTGCTGATACATTCAGCTCAAGGTTAGCTAAACCAATCTCCTTGGTAACCTTATCGTTCCTCAAGACCTGTTCATTCATGTCTGGCTTGGTCACCTCTCCTGGTCCCAAGGGTTTTGCAGCTGATTAATGTTTCTCTTTAGAGGGATTTTTTTTGTGATTTGTAAAGGGTATTTATTAATATTTAATTGGTTTAACAACATTCAAAAAATGTTTAGTGATTGAATCACTTGCATAAATTTTCCACACAAATTTAAAACTTCCTTCTTACGTTCATTTTAGTTAAAAGAATTTATTGCACATTTTGTTTTAGGAAATTTAAGAAATTATAACTTAGCAAGTATCTGCAATGGCCCCAGTTTTGTACCATAATAGGGTTAATACTCTGCCTCTTGTACATTATCATCTCCCTGTGTATATATTTGCCTTTTTGTACAGCGCATTCTTAATTAAGTCAAGCCACGTCATGTGTGCCAAATTGTTGGTCTTGTTTTTTATTGGTATGAATGACGTGTGAGATGATGTGCGACATGTGGTGTGCTAGATGTTGTACCCTGACATCATGTGATGTGAGAGATGATGTCTAAACGTGATGTGCTAGATGTCTGACAATGTGTGTAATGTGCTCTGGCAACCCTGTAATATTGTCTGGCAACCCTGTAATGTGCAAAAAATGTTGTTTGGCAACATGTGATGCAAGAGATGGTGCCCGGCAACAAATAAGGTGCGAAATGTTGCTGTATTCCAGCAACATGTGATGTGCGAGATGTTGTACTCTGGCAACATGTGATTTATGTATAAAGCGATACTTTAATAAACATTTTTAATGCGAGTTGTTTTTACTTGACTTCCTGTCTCAGAAGACCATGACTAGTGTACTGCTACAAGGACTGATTAAAGGGCAGCTCCAATTTCATGGATCAAAAGCAATTCACCAGCGACTGATACTCATGTGTATGTCCTAGAAGGGTACATGTGTGCATGCCCGCTGAGTACACATGTATAGCTTCTCAGATAATACATATGTCCTCTCAAGGCATACACTTTTGACCATATGAGATAATGGGTATACACTTACTGTTGAATGGGGAAAAGGAAAGGAAACCTAAGTATGCTCCTAGTTAACGAAAAGTTAACTATATGTACTTCCTGATGTTCAACAGGAAAAGTAGGTACACACTCCTGAACAGAAAACTAAAAACAATGTCATCACCTGTTCACACCAGCAACTATTTAAACTTTCAAAGTCAAGAGAGTGTTCCTTTCACAATGGAAAGGAATTGGCTTCACTTTAAGGGTGGGAGTGGGGGGGGAGACAATTAAGTCTGCAAACAAATTAGTTTTAGAACTTGCCTGCCATGGGTCCAATCCTTACCCATTTTGTGAATAAATTCCTGTAGTGGATCCAATCCTGGATTTGAACCTGAGAACAATGGAAAGAAGCTGTTATCCATAGTGTATACATTGCAGGTGTACATACACTGTTCTTCCCATCAAGACCAGTGTATATGCAAACATTAGCATTATGAATGTAATATAGACTTAAAAGCCATATAGGTCATTCACATAAAAACAAAGGAATACTGGATTAGGACTACTGGCCCATGTTAGGCAGGTCTAACTCACACCCACTTAAAGTTATTGCCTCAATGATGCTACCTTGGAGTTTGTTCCACTCATCTATAACTCAATTCCTACACCAGCACTCACCCAATATCCTTTCTAAATTAATTTTTTCCACCTTTAAATCCATTTCTGTGAGTCCTATCTTGGTTAAATATTTTCAACACGCTATTTTTATCTCCTTTATTTATTCCTGTTTTTCATTTGTAGATTTCAATCATATCTCCTATAATTCTACAGTTTTCCAAAGAGTACAAGTTCAGTGCCTTTAGCCTATTTTCACCTCTTCAAGGGGGGCTCCTTGGCGTGGTGAAGAGGCTCTTGGTCTGAGGAATTAGCCCTGTCGGTCTTCTTCCTCAGACCGAACCTAATTACCCCCCATTCTCCCCTCCCCCTATCCCATCCTCCCCTTTTTCCATTCCTCCTCCTCCTCCTCCCCACCCCTCCCTTTTGCCCTTCCTCTTTTTGGCCTTTGGGATTTCTCCCACAGGCGCGCTAGTTCCTAGGTAGGGGAAAGGACACCGGGGTCCATCCCATTCCGTTGAGGTTCTTGGCGGTGGCGTAGTTTGCCGTGGAATCTGAACTGCCTGGGGATGTCCCTATCCCTCTCCGGTATCCCGGAGTAGCTTTGGTGTCTTTCGGGCGACGGGTGTATCTCTGGAAGCCACCTTTCGGATTCCGGGGGTGGTGGCCGAAGGAGGTATGCTTTGTGGCGGATATCTGGCCGCCCTCTCTTTTGTCCACTGAGGTAGCTCGGCAGATGTGAGGTTGCTATCCCGGATTGCTGGTTTACTGGCATGAAGGGTAGGGTATGGCACGGGTTCCATGCTGCATCTGCGCTACTAGCGGTGCTGAGGTCCTCTTGGGCGCGGAGGGAGATTTCCGGCCCTTTCATTCCTCCTGGGAACTATTCCTCCCCGCTCCCCCCTTTTTTCTTTTTTTTATTTTTATTTTCTTTTCTTCTTTCTTTTTTTTTCTTAAAAACAAAAAGCAAAGGAGTAACCTAACCATGGCAGCCCTAGTCCATGAACCCACTACCCCCGGGCCCCTTCTTGATACCACACCCCATTCTGACCCTGCCTTGTGTTTAGACCACTCTTCGGACACTCCTGATGCCCCTGTACCTCTTGCTGGTGCTGTTTCCTCACCCGCTTCAGGTACCGGGGCTTCGACTGACTCCTTCGATTTGTCTGAACTCCGCTCTCCTTTGACTATGCTTCCGGCTTCTCCCTCTACGGTATGGCAATTTTCGAATCGCCCACCCATTTCACGCCAGACCAACTCCGGTCCTACTCCTAAACGCCAACGTCAATCTCCTGATGATGCTCCTTCGTTACCTTCCCATTCTACTCGGAAAAGACCGACACGTCAAGCACTCCCTCTCCACGATCAGTTTCGGACCACACAATGGACTAAATTCTTTACTTTAAGACCGACTTCTTCTTCTGCCTACCTTTCTGACCATAGTACAGTGGACCCCCGGTTAACGATATTTTTTCACTCCAGAAGTATGTTCAGGTGCCAGTACTGACCGAATTTGTTCCCATAAGGAATATTGTGAAGTAGATTAGTCCATTTCAGACCCCCAAACATACACGTACAAACGCACTTACATAAATACACTTACATAATTGGTCGCATTTGGAGGTGATCGTTATGCGGGGGTCCACTGTATTGGCAAAGTGCTCCTGCGTCATGTTGGTAGAGATATTTCATTTCATGCTCTCAAGAGCGGTACGCGCATCGTCACTGTCCAGAATGCTACCCAAGCTCATGATCTTTCTCTCCTTTTGAATATCGATACTACTCCTATCACTATTGAAAAACATCTTTCTCTCAATTCTTGTAGTGGTACTGTCATTCTGCCCCATACCATAGTCCAACAGAATTTCCAGTCGTGTGGCAATGACATTTTTGAACAGCTGGAACTCCAGGATCTCCCAATCCTCAAAGTAGACACTTATGTCCTTCCTGCCCGGGGGCGGAGACTTTAAACCCTTGCAATGTGGCTCGTTTAACTTTTGACAGCCGAGAACTCCCGTCCTCTGTATATGTTGCGGGACATCGGTTACAAGTTCAAAAGGTAATACCTACACCGCAACAATGTAGAAATTGCTGGCGTTTTGGTCACCCAGCGAAATATTGCAGATCTATGGCCGAATGCCCAGTTGTGGTGCCGACGACCATTCTAATACATCTTGCAGTCAAACCTCCATCTTGCCTTAATTGTAATGAAGCTCACCCTTCGTACTCCCGCCGTTGCCAGGTCAAACTTAAATGAACGTGAAATCCGTTGCCTCAAAGAGGCAGAAGGTCTCCCTTATGCTATGGCAGTTACTCATCTCCGCCTCCAAGGGAGACTACCCCGTGTTTCTTATTCTCGTGTTTCCAAACATCCCCCCACTTCTGGGGTCCCATCTTCTGCAGCCTCCTCTGTTGTTACCCCTCCCATAGCCACTACGGCATCTAATCCTTTTGCTGTCCTTGGCTCTGACATCCCGACTACAACTCAGTCTGTTCTCACATCTTCACGTCCTTCCTCACAAGCCCCAGTATCAACAAGACCTCGTACGACACCAAATACCAATCGCCCCTCTACTCAGAAGTTCAAAAAATCCACATTGCTCAAATCTTCTTTGCCCCTTCCTTCCCTTCTTCCACCTCCACACTTTACCTTTCCAGTCTCTGTACCTAGTTCTTCCCCTCTCTCTGGCTCTATTACAAGTGTGGAGATTCACCCTCCTCCTCGTACTATGCCTTCCACCCCCGTCCCCTCCCAAGTTTCTCCTTCTTCTCCCACCTCCCAGGTTTTTCTGCCTCTTCTGTCCCCCCCCACACTTCATCTCCAGTCCCTTACACTCTTCCCTCCCCCTCTACTTTGGTACAGTCCATTACTGTCCCAATCTTTACTCACCCTCCTCCTTCTATCTCCAATATGGTCTCCCATACATCTTTGAATTCAGAAACACTTGAAGCCATTTCAGAATATATTGCAGAGACTAAACCTTCAATGGACACTGATTCACTTCCTGTTCCTTCTCTTCCCTCTCCTCCATCTTCACAACCCCATTCTTCGCA